ATGAACTGTGAGTTGTGGTGAAAGCAAAACACCGAGCTTCGGCTAGAAAGCCCCTCTGATTTAAGCGAGCAGGGGAGGGAACTCCCAGACGCGATATCCAAGCAGAGCATTTTAAAAAGAGGGCGCTGAGCGTAAAAGCTATAGAACTAATTTAAGAAACACACAAGAGCGCAGCAAAGCGTTTTGATGGAAAACAGAGACTTTGGCAAACTTTTCTAAAAGTAAACAATCCTCAAAAATGGCGGGGCAGAGAGGCAAGAAAGAGAAACCATCACCGCTTAAGCCTCCTTCAGGAAGTAGAAGCCCAAGACCAGAAGCTACCAATGAGCTTTCACAGCTATTAGCTGAATCATTGTGTCCTCTGCTGGACCAGATGACAAACAGCAATTGACTACTTTGAACCAGAATTTTGCTGCACAACAACTGGAACTGAATGAAACTAAGAAATTAACAGAGCAAACAGCAGAAACACTGAAGGAAGTTAATGCCAAATCTAAAAAGGTTAAAAAGCATGTACAGGAGTTGGAAAAGAGAAGAATTACTGACGAATCTCAGCTTTTGCAACTACAAATGAAAAAGGCAAACTTCATCCTGAGATTCCAAGGGGTTCCTGAGACAAAAGGAGAGAATCTAAAACAAGTACTGGGCGATCTACTTGCACCAGTGGCAGATTTGAAAATGGAATATCTTCAAAGCGAAATGGATGTGGTCTATAGATCATATTCGGAATATATTAAGAAAAATAATCTGCCTGGAGAAATAGTGGTTAGATTCTCAAAAAGACTTGTGAGGGACCAAATCTTGAAAACAACATCAGGTACACCCCTGAAAATAAACGGTAACACCATATGGGTACTAAAAGACATTCCATTTGAAATTAGAAAGAAGAGGAAGGAATTCAAAGGCTTGACATTGTTTTTACAAACAAACAACATACAGTACAAATGGTTGGTTCCCGAAGGCTTACTCTTCAGAATAAATGAGAAAAAAGAAAGAATTGACTCTGTTAAGAAAGCAAATGAGTTCTTGAAGCAGCAACTGGGAAGGTCCGGAGAAGATGACAAAGATGAAGACTAGGATAAAGAAAGCGGTGAAAACTCTTCTTCAGCGTCAGAGGAGGACTCTGATTCAGAGCTGGGGGCTGCGGCCCCCAAAAGAGCCAAGAAATGAGATGCTGAGGAACTCTGAATTCCACCTTTAAGAAACTACACTTATCTTTTTTAGTTTGATGCTTTTGTGATTGCCTTAAACAGTAATTGATATCGGGTTTTGGGGAATATTGGCTAGATTTAAAAATTCAAGCTCATTGTATTATTAATAGATTAGATTAATCATTTTATAAGCGTATGTAATGATATTCACTACTTGGGTTTTCAGTCGTTAACTTTCCTTTCTCCCGTAGATATCAGATTCCCTTCCCTATTTTCTTTGTAGTTTATAGAAAAGCAATAAAAGATCCCCTTCAAGGGGCCAAAAAAAAGAACAAAGCTCACACAAATGTTCTGTTCACCAATGAAGCACAGCTACTGCATGTGCTTGAAAGTCCCCTGATACCAATCAGTGATATCAGGTCTTTACAGATCAACACAGTCCAGAATATAACTGTGCCACAATCAGGAAACAATAGTATAGTATGAGGTCAAAACAAGGAGCCAATATATATGTGATTAGTATTAAATGACTGGTATTAAATGACCAAAGTGTTAAGCTTGTGAATGACTTAGCAGGAAAACCGTACCCATTTTAGAAACTGGAACATGACAGAAAGCCAAAGAGAAAGCTTCCATTTCTCTCCCTTGCCTTGAGACAAAAAAGAAATGCTGTTGTTCTCATGCCTTGCTTGTAAAGTTATCAGAGGCATTTGGGTGGCCATTGGTGGAAGCTGAGGTTGGGTATAGATGAAGGCAACAGAGCTGCCCAATGGCATTTGAGTCTTAATACACCAAACTATTGTAAATCTATGTTTGCTATTGCCATACAACAGCCCAATACAACAAAATGCTGGAAATAGGCTTCTTAGAGACAGATCTCGGAAGCTAAGCAGGGTCAGCTTTGGCTAGTATTTAGAAGGGTGACCTCCAAGGAATACCAGGGTTGTGACGCAGAGGTAGGCAATGGCAAACCACCTGTGAAACATCTCTTGCCTTAAAAACAAGTATAGCGTGCCACCTAGTGGAGCATAACACTAAAGAACTAGAACTTCTGGCTGCCAGACAATCTTAGGATCTCCTGGCTATTCTACAGACAATGCCATATGAAAATTAATTAGAGACAGGTGCTGTAGTTTTAAAAGGCAGCTGGCCAGTCCACAAGGCATCATTACCAGTGAAAATAATTGAGTCAGCTTTGCCCATGATCCTGCCAGAAAAATCACATTTGTTCCCCTGTACTGGTGTACTGAAGCTGTTACTGGAGTCCTCAGCCTTTCACCTGGCATCTTGAAAGGAAAAGTAGTAAAAATCAATCAAATTGACTGCTGCTGTGGTTTTCTTAATTCTGACCTCCATTTGTCAGTGCAGAGCACTCTGAAAACTTACTGAAGATCTGCCATGGATGCTAGCTCTTCAAGGTTTCACCCTCCCCCACACATTAGTATGTTGTAACCTAGAATCCATATAGCCTTGGTGTCTGCATCATCCTGCAAAGGGATGAGGTTTGTAGTACACATCAAGTGCAGATATGTTGTGTGGCGTTATTCAAAATGGTTACATTTTTGAACCCCTATTATTACTCTATAAATGGTTTCGGCCTTTGAATGTTCAGAGTTGTAGAGCCACCATGAGTGTTGGTGGGACTGGAGAATTGGGTGCTATGTAATTATTATACCTGTTGTTCTGCATGTGAAGTTTGAAACTAGAAGTATGTAAGGGTTTTTCTCTGTCAAACAAGGTCCATCTAATCCAGCATTCTCTTTACATTTAGATGCCTCTGGGCACCTACCAGTAGGTTATGGAAGTGATGTCTTTTCCCTGACAATTGTTCCCAGCATCTGGTTTTACATGGAGGTTTGGATCCACCTGTAATTCCTACTGACAGAAGAGATTTTTGTCCACAGAGGATGGCTTCCTTACCTCCTCTGTCCAGCTGCATCTTTTAAAATCTACTCCGAGGGAAGAGGGGGACTCCCAGGATCAGCAGGATGGGGTTAGAGCAGGAGGGAAGAATCAGTGAAAATCACCTTCCCCATCATTTTTGGCAATCCCTCAGTAATCAAAGCCATATACTGTCTGAGTTCTATTTAGCTTTGCTAGCTAAGAGCCATTGATAGACCTATCCTCCATTAATTTGTCTAAGACCTTTTAAAGCCATTTAAGCAAGTGGTGATCATGCCTAATGTTGGGAATTCCATACGTTGATTATGTGTGGGGTGAAGTAGTACCTCCTTCTGTCTGAACTTTTAATATGTAATACTAAAAACCCACAGTGGAATGGAAAATCTGGCAGATGCTCTGCTACAGAACAATGCTAAAAAATGTAAAAGTATAGAACAATGATTGCAAGTAAAACACTAACTCTGGAAAGAGGCAGAGAGGAGCACACTAATGTGTGAGAAATGAGGTAACAAATGCATTCATAAAGGCAATTTTAAGTCCATAAATACTTTAAATTCTCAGGTAATAAGGATGTGCCATGTTTGAAGACTTCTCAGTATGCTTATATAACATGCTTATACATGTTTGCTGCCATTTATGATATGGTTAACCCTTTTTTTGTTCTGCACAATGGATTTTCAGGGAGAGAGTTCTATACTATGCCATCATATCTACAAAATAGGAAGAGATGCCAGCCCATTTACTTACAGTAGGATCTTTCAAACATACAAAGTTGCCTTCTGCAAATTCATACCCTTGGTTTCTTTAATCCTTTATCATGTGCCATGACTGGTAGCTCTTCTCTGAAATTCTTTTGTAGCTGGAGGGGTCAGGGATTTAGTTGGGACCTTCTGCATGCGAAGCACATCCTCTGCCATTGAGCTAGAGATTTCTTGTTGCCTGTTTATCAGGGGCTGCCCATGTAGTGTTAAAACTTGTTTTGGAAGCACCAACTATCTACATAATGCAAATAATTTAAGAAAGCATCTATTGTTGAAGTTAAAACACATATTTGTTTAATAATGTCATAGATAAGCTGAGTTGTCCAGTTGAATAAATCTTATCAAATGTTAGTATTATATCTTCTCCTTATCAGACATTCAAAGCAAGCAGATGTCAAAGCTTGCTTAATATTGCCCTTTAATATGGGGAAGAGAAAATGTATAGCCCCATCGTGGTATTTACATAGAACTGATTATTGCAGTGCCCTTTCCTTTCTCCCAATGTGATCTAAAATGTCCTTAATGCTCTACACAGCAATAATTTGGGGAGTTTTAATGAGTATTTGGGTAGTGTCTTTTTTATCACTGTATTTTAACACCTGTGTGTCTTCATGAAATCCCATGCCTTATGGAGAAAATGAAGATCCAGCCCAGTGCATTCGAGATTGCAAGCATTTGTCATTTAAGCACCATAGCATACAGACAACCATAATATGAAATGCTTGGTACTATTAGGGCCTGATGCAATTATACACCATCTGCCACTGTCACTAGATAGGTAGGATCAACCTGTCGTTATGGTAGGGGATGGGGAGGTATTGCCTTCAACAAATTGCATCTTAAAGCCATTCTGGTTTGGCCAGAATGACCTGAGAATCTGGTGTGAAGGGCTGAAGTGTACTTAACCGGTAAGGCCTGGGATGATCACTTGTGGAGAGAGACTGGGCTTGAGGCAGTAATAATAATAATAAATGTGCTGTTCCTTGTGCCCTCTTGGTCAAGTGCAGCCTGCAGCTTAAAATGTAATGATGATGACCTCCATTAGCCAAGTAGAAGCTCTCTTTCATCATAAGACAGCAAGCCCTGAATGTGCCTGTCATATATTACTTATTCACCCTAGTCTAAGCATGAAAATCAATGTTCACAGTGCTGCTGCCAATGTTTTCTTCTTTTCCCCCTTTTACAGAGCACAGATGAAGAATCCAGGTAAGATCACATCCTTTGTCCTTCCCCCTACTCTAGCCTATGTTTTATGTAAAACTAGGAAAAAGGCCCATTGTGGAAATAAATACAATGGTCTCTAGAAAGAGGCTCTGGGCGGGTGCCCCGGCCTTGGACACTCAGTGTCAATTTGCTGTGGCAACCTCAGCAGGGTATAATGACACTGAGTCCACCATTTTCTCCAGAGGAACTGATCTCTGCTACCTAAAGAACAGTTGTAATTTTGATTGATCTCCAGCCCTCACCTGGAGATTGGCAACGATGGTTCCCCAGAAGGGAATGGTTGGTTTGAAGGGTGGAGTCTATGGCTTTGTACCTGTCCGAGGTCCCACGCCTCCTGAAACCTCACCCTCTCCAGGCTCCATCCCTCACATCTCCAGGAATTTCCCACCTGAAGTTGGCAACCCTATCTCCTTCCCAGCCAATCATCAACCTACCTTTATTTCCCCCTCACTCTTCAGTTTTCCACCCCCCACACACCTGCAGCCTCTCCCGTGCTCTGAAGCCCTGACTGCTATGTCATATTGGCTGTCATACGGGGGCCACCTCAGCAGCATATAAGGATACAGAGCCCACCATTTTCTCCAGGGGAACTGATCTCTGCCATCTGGAAAGCAGTTGTAATTCTGAGTGATCTCCAGCCCTCACCTGGGGATTGGACACATTTTACCTCAGAACAGCAAACTGTTTAGAATGTTAGAGGCAAAAGCCAGTCAAGTTGCATATGCAAACGACTTCTGTGTTCCGAGGCAGAGGCCAATGAGGCTGCATATGCAAATAACCTCTGTGTTCTGATTGGCTATGTGGGGGAGAGGACCAGCAAACTGTTTAGAATGTTGGAGGCGAGACTCAAGCAATGCAGCCAGTGGATAGGGACAGATTCTGAGTGACACACCAGGGCGCCAACCAATTCCAGAGCGTGTGGAATGTTCTAGAGAAGTGCCACCACCATTCGGCTTTTATATATAAGGGAGATGACAATAGGGGTGGGGTTAACATTTTAAAGAAATTACTAAGACACTGTGCTTTATGAAAGGGGGCACAGGAATTCCGTTTTTAGGACCCTAGCTATAGAAGCTGCATGTCAGATCACTTACATTGAAACCAAAGCCCCCCAACCAAGGGTTTGGTTGGTTATTTTAATTAACATGGATTTTCATAGTGAGAGTATATTACGCAATTCAATGTATCAAAACCTCAGTTTCACTCATTACCTTATGTGGATGGGGGGAATGCTTGCGTTGTTCCTGTAAAGCATGGTGTTGAATGCTGGAGGCTAGATAGTTAGATGCTAAGGCTCACAATGTAATGGTGGTTTGGAGGCAGATGCTGGAAGTGTCCTTCCTCCAGGGCTTTCCAAAATATTTGTGCTTTTTGTTTGCCACATTTGAAGCTTGTATTCAGAAGAACAGGGCAAGCAAGTGTAGTCTTTTTTTGAAGAACAAGGTTTGTATTTAACACTTTCCCCACAGTAGCACTCTTCTCACAACAAAAGCCAAAGATTTTTTGTCCACTGGGTAGAAAGGATGTGTATCAAAAACACAAAAAAGCAAGTTTATTCAAGAAAGTCATACTGAGTGCAGCTATTCTTGGACAGGCATAAAAGTTTTATCTTTAAGCTCTGATACTAGCATGATTTTTTCTTGCTTTATTAGTTGACATAAATGCTGCCTTAGTAAGGTTTCACAGATTCTAACTTACAATAGCTTACCACAGCTTAATTATGACTTCACTGGGCAGATTTAATGAACTATGGTTCCAAAGCCTCCTTGGCCAGACTGTTAATAGAGAATGTGACTATGTTGGTTCTCCTGGACCTCTTAACAGATTTTGATACTAGTATCGGCCATTGTATCCTTCTGGACTCCCTGGTGGAGGTGTGTTCTTGGTGGAGCAGTTTCAGTCCTTTCTTGAGGGTAGATTGCAAAAAGGAGTGCTAGAAGATTCTGCCCCTTGACCTGTGGGATTCCACGAAGCTCCACCATGTACGCCATGCTGTTTAACATCTGGAAGGGATCATTTGGAGTAAGTTCTCATCAGTATGCTGATGACCTGCAACTCTGTCTCTTCTTTGCATCTTATTCTAAGGAGGTAGTGGATATACTTCTTTGGGGTCAAGAGGCAGTGAAATACTGCTTTAAGGTAGACAAACTAAAACTTAATCCAAACAAAACTGAAGTGCTGTGGACTGGGACTAAAACTGATCTGGGAATACATCTGGAGGAGGTTGTTTTCCCCTTGGAAAAGCCAGTTCACAGTCTGGGGTGCTCCTAGATTTTTCACTGACCCTTGATACTCACATGACAGTTGTAGCTAGGAGTATTTTTTACCAGTTTAGGCTGATTCTCCAGCTATAATACTTCCCGGAGAAGGGAGACCTGACCACAGTCATACATATATTGGTGGCATCCATTTTGGACTAATGTGAAGTAGTGTACATGGATCTGCTTTTGAACATGGTATGGAGACTTCAGCAGATTCAGAATGCAGCAGCCCAAATGTTAGTGGAAATTGCTACAATGAACATATAATACCAGTTGTGTACCAACCACATTGTACTGAAACCTGTAAAAAAAATCTGGGAACCAAGTGCGGTTTTTAACTGTTAAATCCTTAAATATGTTAGTACCAGAAAGACTGCCTCCACCTGTATACACTTTCCCAAACTCTGAGATTGTCTGAGAAGGTACTGCTGTAGAAATCTACAATTACAGAAATGTATTTGGTGGAGCGTTCTTGGGGGCCACTCCTAGACTTTGGAACTCCATTACGTGGGAACTGACTTTTTAAAAAAATCAAGAAAGGACTTTTAAAATTAGACTCTTACCTTGATGTTTACAAGTGTTATACATTTTAAAAAACATATTGTTATAGTTGTGTTTTAATATCATGGCAAACTGCTTGGAGCATTTTTAATGGAGAGGTGGGATATAAATGCATATTAATTGTCTTATTGGATCCAAACAGTGACTTTCCTGGTATGAATATTTAACTTGCAGCAGTAGCTGGTGCCTAGTATGGAGGATAGATGCAGGCTAACTTTCACATATTATTATGCCCTGAAGTAAGAGACTTTGAGTTTGTTTCCCATACAAATGTTGTTTTGTTGTTTTTAGCTATTGCCAAAGGAATAGCTATTATAAATATACAAAACTTGACAGCATATTTTTCTTCTCTCTGGATCCCTCCAACCCTTTCATGGGAAGGTTATCCCAGTATATGCTGGGCTTCGTTGTGTTTATTTTCTGGTAGAATTCTTTTTATACATTTGCCTGCAGTACTGTAGTGGGAAAAGGGGAATTCATTTGGACAATGCCTGATGCAATCCTTATGAAGTCTATCAATGTGACTTCCACTGTTTTGACATTGAGTTTGGTGCAGGCTGACAGGCGGGATGGATTGTTCTGCTTCTTCCTTGCCTCCCAATGGGCTGTATTTTTCATAGGCTTATACTTTTCTCTGTAGGAGGAAAGACATGTTCTAATAGTAATGCAAACTTGGCATTCCTAATGCTTGTGATTTCCAGATTGCCAGCCAAATGAATACTCAGGTGGGTTCTGCACATGCTCATCATCTCTAATAAGCTTGGGCTTCTCTACCTTGTTCTTGGGGGACATTTTCAGCTTTTGGGGTAAGCTCAATTGGGAAGTATACAGAATGACGAAAAAGGAAAACAGATTAAGATAGCAGAATGGAGATGATAGATGAGTTGTGATGTCCTAGTTCCAGCTCTTGGTATTTTGGCACTGTTTTGAGATAGAGAATGGTCCAGAACATTCTAGGCAGAGGTGCTTAGCTGTGTTTGTTGGTATCCGATAGCTTGTTTATGTTGCTCTTCCTTTTCATTTGAACTCCTACAATTTTTATTATTGAGTAGTTCATGGGGCTTTGAAGTGGCACCAAAGGAGACATAAATAATAATATTAGAAAGCAGCTTCTTTTAAAAATAGTATAACGGAAAAGACAATAATCATAGTTTACATGACACTGTAGGCTACGGATGGTTGCAGGATTTTGATGTAAGACCTAGACCAGAGTAGAGCTCCTAACAGCAAAGTGACAGGAATAGGGTGAACTTTGCTTTGTGTGGGGTTCAGCTTCAGTGGTTGAGATACAGTTTCAGTTTCTTCACAACACCTGGAAATGTCAGAGAAGAAGAAGAGAAGAAGAGATTGGATTTATACCCCGCCCTTCACTTGGAGTCTCAGAGCGGCTTACAAACTCCTTTCCCTTCCCCTCACCACAACAGACACCCTGTGAGGTGGGTGGGGCTGAGAGAACTCTGACACAAACTGCTCTTTCAGGAACAGCTGTGCCATAGCTTGTGACTGACCTAAGGTCACATCAGCAGGTGCAAGTGGAGGAGGGGGGAATCAAACCCAGTTCTCCCAGATTTAGAGTCCGCACACTTAACCACTACACCAAACTGGCTCTCGATTGGAGGAGATTGGATTTATACCCTGCCCTTCACTTGGCTTACACAGAGCGGCTTACAATCTCCTTCCCTTCATCTCCCCACAACAGACATCCTGTGAGGTAGATGGGGCTGAGAGAGCTTTTGAAGAACTGTGGCTTCCCTAAGGTCACCCAGCAACTGCATGTGGAAGAGTGGGGAATCAAACCTGGTTCCTCCATATTGGAATCCACTCTCCTAAACACTACACTAAATTGGCTCTCAGAGACTGTGTGTGAGAACCTTACCTTTCTGGTTTATAGCATAAAATGACAATGGTAACACACAAAACCTGGTGAGCTGTCATCTGGTCTACATACTACTGGCCATTAATGTTAGCCATGGGATTGATCTCCCAATGGAAGAACAGGTGGTTGCTGAGAGCAGACATTTCTCAGTCCATTTCTTTTAAGTATCTTGGTTGGCCTGGGAAGCAGAGTACATTTAACCAGTATTTTCTAGGCAGTGCAATGCAGGTATCGGTATCCTTCTTTGCATTCCTGTTGCTTGATAGGTCTGGGGATCATAGTGT